AGCTTGTCTTAAACCATATAAAGCTTTGTATAGAGCCACTATTTCTCCATATTCTTCACATTCTTCAGGTAATTTCATGTATATGGATTCATCTAATTGTCCATAAAGGAAAGCTGTTTTGACATCGAATGTTTGAAGATGATACCCCCTTTCAGCAGCAATAGCAAACAGTAGTCTCAATGAGTTTGTATCCACTACTGGACTGTATATTTCTTCGAAGTCCATATCATCTTTCTGCTCACAACCTCTTGCAACAAGTCGAGCTTTATAACGTCCATCATCTTTCTGTTTGAGTAGCCATCTGCTAGTTATTATCTTTTCCCCTTGTATTTCATCTTTCTTGACTCTTCTCCAGGTGTTGTTTATTTTTAGGCTGTTCTTTCTTCTTCTATGGCATTTCTCCATTTTTCTCTATCACATCGCTTCATACACTCAGCATAGGTGAGAAGGACTCCTTGGTCAGATTCCTCAGTGTTATATTCAAGTTCATAGTCTCTGTATCTATCTGGTCTTCTCAGTTGTTCTCTGTTTCGGAGTTGTCTTCTTTCTTGCTGATGGTTTTCTATAAGTATTTCTTCATTTTCTACATTTTGTTCATCTTCTTGTTGTTGTTCTCTATTTCGGAATTGTCTTCTTTCTTGCTGATGGTTTTCTACAGGTAGTTCTTCATTTTCTGCATTTTGTTCATCTTCTTGTTCTATGTTTTCTTGTTCTTGATTGTTTATTACTTCTTCTTGTTCCTCTTGATTATTTATTTCTTGATTATTTATTTCTTTCATGGTGTCATAGTTCACAGAAATATTTACTTCTTCTTTTTCTTCCACTGTCTCGAAAGAATTCGTGAATTTGATGTCTCTTGAGACATAAATTTTCCGGGTCTGAGGGTTCCACACCCTGTACCCGTTTGATGCATAGCCTACAAAAATTCCTTTTCGGCTTCTATTCTCAAGTTCCTTCAGGTGTCCTAAATTTTTGGTGTATACTATTGACCCAAATTCTTGAAGATTTGACAGATCAGATTTTTTTCCAAACCATGCTTCTGCTGGAGTGTTTTTCACAGTCGATGTAGGACTTCTGTTGAATAAGTATGCAGCTGTAAGTACAGCAAATCCCCACAGTTTTGTGTTCACTTGAGATTTGTGTAGCATTGCACGTGCTCGGTTCATGAGTGTCAGATTCACTCTTTCAGCGGTTCCGTTTAGTTGGGGCGTATGTGGGATAGTCCAGTCCAAAATAATCCCTTTTTCTCTGCACCAATTTCTAAATTCATTACTTCTGTATTCGCCTCCGTTGTCACATCTAATTTTTTCAGTCTTTATATTGAAATGAGCTTCAGCTTCATTTATGAATTGTTTAAGGTAATCTTCAGTTTCATCTTTTTGTCGTAGAAGGTACACCTTCAGAAAGTGTGTGTAGTCGTCCAAACAAGTGAGTATGTATTCTTCTCCATCATATGTGATGGGAGATATTTTTCCACAGAGATCTGTATGAATGACCTCTAGTGGTCTTTCTGCTCTTTGTCTGATGGTATTGAATGGTTTTCTTACCATTTTTGCAATAGTGCATGATTCGCAGAACTCCTGTGTGTTGCATTTTTGTAATGTAGATACGCCATTACAAAATTGTGGTACTTTCTTGAGATCATTGAAATTTAGATGTCCCATTTTGTTGTGCCACTCAAGAGCCTTTCCTTGTGTGATGAGAGCTTCTTCTTTGCTTTGATCCTCTAATTCTATAATGTATAGGCCATTTTCTGTTTTCTCGCCTTGCATTACAACATCTTTTTTATTATATGTTACCTCACCATGTACTATCATCACATCATTTTCTGTGAATACTGCTATTCCACCTTTATTTGTGATTGTGTTTACAGACAGAAGGTTTCTTGATAAATTTGGAACATATGCAATATTTGTAAGTGTTACATTAGTGCCTTGTACACTGCCTGTCAAGTTAGAAATTAACTCCGATCCCTTCTTAGCACAGCCTATTCTTATTTCCTCAGTTTTTCTGATATTCGTCAGTATATCTTTTTCATGAGTCAGATGACCAGTAGCTCCACTGTCACATACAAATTTTCTATCCAGCTGATGACGATATTCTCCATCCGATAGGTATGACTCTGTCAGATAACTCACTCTATTATTTATGTTACTTCTGTCTTGTTTTCTTTCATGTTCTTCCTTATATCGGCATTTTTCTTCTGGATGGTTGTCTTTCTTGCAGTATTTGCATGTTGAGAAGGTTTTTCCTTTCCAGCATTCTGATTCTGTGTGGCCAGCATTATTGCATTTCTTGCATTGCTTGAATGATGATTCCTTTGTTTTATTTTTCAATTTCTTCCTGCAGTCTTCAGCCCAATGTCCTTCTTTATGACAAAAGTTGCACTTGCCTATCTTCTTAATATTTGATGTTGCTTTGAATGCCACTTTTGTGTCTTGATTATACTTTGCTTCCATTTGATCTTCTTCTTTCAGTAGCCGAGATTTGAGATTTGCCAAGGTTTTGTCTTCTGATGGTGTAGAGTCCCATGCACTCCCGAAATGTTTGAATTTGTCTGGAAGACTTTGTAAGATTTTAGCTATCAGCATTACATCATCAATACTAACTCCAACATCATTGAGTCTAAATGATAGATTTTGTAAACAAGAAATATTTGCCATAACATCACTTGATTTCTCGTAGTTGAAACCGTAAAACTGAGCTAACAATTGGTTCTTGGACAGCTCATTATCTTTCTTGTACACTTTTTGTAAAGCCTCAAACATTTCTTTTGCAGTTTTTGATGTCATAACATGACTCTTCATTTCTGGGCTTATTGTCCTCAAAATGATGTGTTTTGCACTTGCATCTTTGCATTTCCATGTTTCGGTCTGTGTATTTGTAGTGCATTCTTCCAGCTTCGATGTGCCATCGATAATATTCATCAATTGTTTTGCCTCAAAAAGGATTAGGATTTCAAATCCCCACAAAGTATATGATGCAGCATCGATGAGTTTAGATACAGATTCTATTTCTTCCTTTGATCCCATCTTCGTGCTTTGTGGTGTATCAGACTTCTTATTGAGATACCTTTTCGTATATATTGTTGTTTACTCACTTCGTCTTAGAGCACTCTCTGGGCCCATAACCTGATCGTTTTATTATTTATTATTGTTTTGTGTATTGAAAAACTGCAATATTGTATTAGTTTTTAATGAGTAACAATCTTGACAATAGTCTTTTTATGTCTTGACAGTTTTACTGACTTCTCTAGTTATACTGGGTCGTGCACCCTAATAATAAAAATGATTTGTTACATTCAACAAGTATGATGCCAAATTGAACTCACAATACGTATCAAGCGACTCCTCATTCAATATCAAATTCGATTGATTCTGTTTGTTAAATGAATAGACAAGAATGTGAGGATTCAGTGAGTCTCTTGGTTGTAAGGAAGCCTCACAAATTCACTTAAGTTGTATGTCTCAAATCCAATGAAATTTGACAAATATCGCGAATGTTTCATTTACTGGGATACTGCGCGTCAGTTGCTGATACGGTATCTTATACAATGCTAGTAACTTCGCTACGATCAGTATTCAGTCCCTTCGGAATATGTTCAGCTGAACATCAGAACTTCTCAACGATTATTCTGATTCATATGGAATTTGAAATACTTGTGAATTGACCTGGTATTGATTGAAAGTTATAATGATTTGGCAAGAATTCAGTCATTTCCACATGTGAAACACATTATATACAGGGTGAGTCAATAGTGTGTTCTCTTTCGATATTAGCCAAACCCTCAGATTTATTGAGAAAATTTGAATACAACAGTTATAGGGTTTCATGAGAACTATCACCTGAAATTATTTCCATATCTATAGGGTGTTCGAATTCCAAGATATCGGCTGATGCGTTTTTTTTTATTGGGATACACTATATATTATTGCATTCTTAGGTTCTTCCAGAAGAACTGATTTTATCAATGCATCACACTTGGGGTCTAGAAGGAATGATTAGAGAGAGATATACGGTGTTTGAAATCAAGATTTTTCAACTTGTGGATTGTTTTTATCGAAACTATTCATTATTGGTCGAAACGGCTAACATGTCCCTTTTTTACTTTTTATTTACTATCTACTGACATATAATTGGAACAAATACAGGGTGGTTCATTCATGAATTCTGATCAACCTGTATTTGTCCCAATTAAATGTCAGTTGATAGTCAATCAAAAGTTAACATTGTGACATGTAGGCCGTTTTGACCAATGATGAATAGTTTCGACACATAAGAATCCACAAGTTGGAAAATCTCGTTTTTGAACACCCTATCAGTTATCATTCCTGCTAGACCCCAAGTGTGATATATTGATGATATCAGCTCTTCAGGAAAGAAGTAGAAATGCAATGATATACAGGATATTCCATCTACAAAAACCATCATCAGTCGATATCTTCGAGTTCGAACACCCTATAGATATGAAAATAATTTCAAGTGATAGTTCTCATGAAACCCAATAACTGTGTATTTGAATTTTTTTATATATCTGAAAGTTTGGCATATATCGAAGGAGAATACACTATTGACTCACCCTGTATTCAATCGTTCACTTACCTCTAGAATGTACTAATTTCATAAATAACCCCAATGTGTACCCGAAACCCGAAAATCAGCGAAACTTCTACACATTTATGTTTGTACTTGCCGTCACCTAGGTTTATGTTGCTAACTTCCTTGCTGATATCACAATCAGGCTCAGTTGTGGCCTTGGAGGTGGCCTAGGCAACTATTCGACAACTCCTGATATTTTTGTTCGCTCCCGCGTTCAAACATCATTGCAAGGCATAAGCTGAATTTCAAATACTCATTTGATGAAAACCTATCAGTAGATGAAAGTTTCCAACCAATAAATTCGATTATGCATTTGTTCGTGCTACGTGAACAGAAGAATGTACGTATTCAAAATTCAATGAGACAAAGCAGCATAATAAATTCTGGAAATTCTCCTGCAGGTTTGTTCATACCCGCGATTGCCTTGGTTTTGGTCGCAAACATCCGCACCGATCAATGGGGTTCAGCTGTGGCCTTGCTGGTGGCCGCTGTGGCCTTCAACAGCGCCTGCATGAGTGGCTTCATCGTCAATCACATGGACCTATCGCCCAACCATGCCGGCATCCTCATGGGCATCTCCAACACGGTTTCGCACTTATGTGCTATTTTGGCATTGCTGTTCGCACAATTCGTGGTCACGGACGAGGTAAGAATCATAAGAATAATATAGTTGTGAGAGTATGATGGAGAAGAAAATCGTTGAGAGAATTCTTAATGGTAAAAAACTATACTTTCTCGACTGATACCACTGAATATTCAATCACTTATATAGATACCTATGTCAAATATCGGGAGTGCCTAATTTGTAGAAGATTAACATATTGTATAATTAATATTGTTTGGATTAGGAACCCTAAATATCAAGACCAAGAGATATTTGAATTGATTATAAGCTGGTGCAAAACAGCTTTGCCGAAAGGTACCGCTATATACAGGCTGATACACGGCGGAAGACACAATTAGACGTTTCTAGAGAACGTAACTTGGGATTATTCTGAAAATTTGGTAACTATCGATCAAGAATATTCTCAGCGCTGCGACGTTGTCGCTTATACTGAAAAGTAGCATTAACTACGATTTTTCGAACGAGACATCCTGTATATTACTTTTCATATTCTCCTTGAAGAGTGAATTCCATTGACCAATAGAACTTGGGGTCCAGCAGAAAGGATTACAGAGATATAAGGTGTGAAAAATCGAGATTTTTCAACTTCAAGATTTTTTTGTGTCGAAACTATTCATAACTGGTCAAACGGTTTCCATGTTCCTATCTCTACTTTTTATTTACTATCAATTGATATTTGATTGAAATAGGTACAGGGTGGCTCAGAATTGAAATTTCCAACTACCCTGTATCTGTATCTATTCCAATTAAATTTCAATTGATAGTACATAGAAAGTTGAGAGAGGGACATCAAAACCGTTTCGACCAATGATGAATAGTATCGACACAAGGAATCCTGAAAGTTCAAAAATTTCGATCTTTCATACCCTATATCTTTTTATCATTCCCGCTAGACTCCAAGTGTGATAGATCGATGGAATCAGCTCTTCAGGAAGAATCTGAAAATGAAATTATATACAGGCTGTTTCATTGAAAAAATATATAAGTTGTTGCTTCTTTTCAATATTAGTAGCAACGTCGCAACGCTGAGAGTATTTCAAGTCGATAGAACACAACTAATTATCTGAGGCATCAACTTTTCAGAATGATTCTGAGATCTCCTAGTCTTGAGATTATAGGTTTCCAACCATCTGTCTGATGGACATTGAATTACTGTGAGAAATCCAGGTGTTGCGATAGTCTGCAGAATTGTGGAATTTTCGCATATCTGTAATAATATGGACGTAGGGGTCAATATTCGACGTACTCACAAGCTATGGTTGTTTGAACAATCTACTCACACACCTTTGCACTTTTGCCACAAGATGGCTCTCAGGACTAGGAGAATGCAATTGTTCACATGTTCAACAGAAAATAACTACTCT